AAACACACTTGACTGGCACTTCCTCCTCAGCAACCGGCCTGTCTGACTTCGTTCGGTCTGATTTAGCTCCTTTTGTTCCTTGGAGAGAACAAAGTAAAATCTCCTCTCAGGTAGCTGTGAGGAGTGGAAGTCCCTTATCCTTTTAAAGAAACAGAGCAAATATTTTTCTTTGGACAAAAGAAAGCCTGTGAATGTTTTAGGCCCTGTGACTTCCTGGCATCAGTCCAACTTTCTCATTGGAACGTTTAGTGTGTTTAGGTCCTTGGGAATTGATAGACAAGCTCTTTGGTAAGCCTGAACTTGAGGTTTTTAGTTTTCTCGATAACTGATACTTGTATCAGCTCTTTCCTCTTCCAGTTCCTTTTGGAACTTTAGGTTGTATCACAGTTCTCTGAATCATATGATTTTGTGACCTGTATTTTCTTCCTCTTGAGTTACACAGGTCAGGTCAGATTTTTTTTTTTTTTAACGAATTGGACTGCTGCTGTTTTCACCACATTTTATAAGATTATACATGAATAAAATTTAAAAAATTATAAATTATAAATATATTTCTCTGATAGTACTTTTATATCACACTTATTTTTTTTAAGATTTTGTTTATTTATTTGACAGACAGAGACCACAAGTAGGCACAGAGGCAGGCAGAAGGAGAGGAGGAAGCAGGCTCCCTGCCGAGCAGAGACGAGGACCCTGGGATCATGACCTGAGCTGAAGGCAGAGGCTTTAACTAACCACTCAGCCACCCAGGCGCCCCTTACGTCACACTCTTAAGTGACCCTCAAAACTCATTTCTTCTGAACTTCTCTGTATTAGGGAAAAGAATTTTGGATTCAAAAAACAAATTAGACTCAATAAAGGGTTAAAGTGAACTAATGGGAACTGTATTGCTGGCACCTTCCTGGTTAGTAATTATTCAGCTGTGTGGCAGTTTGACTTCCAGACTTTTGTTGCTAAGCCATGAATTGTCAGGGTCACCAAGTAGATTATTTCCTTCTAGTTATTTTGTCCTTAAGTGCTTCAGAGGGTTGGCCTACAGCATGTTGACATTGTCAGTGTGTACATATTTATTCCATGTGCTAATGAGGGATGAGAGCTGTACCATGAGGATACAGACTTGAGTTGATTCCTTCGTCACTCATTAGGGAACTGTGATGTATGTGTCTAGGAACTTGGAGTTGTGTCTTTCTGTAGACTCTTTCTGACTTTCTACATTTTAATATGCCAGGGAGAAAACTCCTTTCAGCACAGGCTATAAATATTTTTTCTTCTGTCTATATTTGGATACATCTAGTTGTATACTTTGTAGATTGCAGCCATTTGTGAAATGTAAAGAGCCCATTGTTCTTTCACTTTTTACAGTAAGGATTTATTACTTTTTATTTTTTTAAAAGATTTTTATTTATTTATTTGACAGAGATCACAAGTAGGCAGAGAGGCAGGCAGAGAGAGAGGAAGGGAAGCAAGCTCCCTGCAATGTGGGGCTCCATCCCAGGACCCTGGGATCATGACCTGAGCGGAAGGCAGAGGCTTTAACCCACTGAGCCACCCAGGCACCCCCGTTTATTACTTTTTAAATTTAAAAAGTGAAAACACTGCCTTTTCTAATTATTATTATTATTATTATTTTAAAGATTTTATTCATCCATTTGACTGAGAGAGAAAGATCACAAGTAGGCAGAGAGGCAGGCAGAGAGGGAGGAAAGCAGGCTCCCCACTGAGCAGGGAGTCCATTGCAGGGCTCTATCCCAGGACCCTGATAATCACGACCTGAGCTGAAGGCAGAGGCTTAACCCACTGAGCCACCCAAGGTGCCCCGCCTTTTTTAATTATTAAATCACTTATAGACCCACCAGCTAAAGACAGCCATGGTTAGTATTTATATTACTTTTGTATCATTATTTTCCAAGATATATACACATACTTATACACATACATACATATATCTATACATACTTATATATTTTTTACAAAATTGGGATCATTCTGTAAATGTAATTTTGTATTCTGCTTTTTTCACTTACCAGGTATTTTTTCACATCATTAAATATTTTTTAAATAAATTTTGAATAGGTGATATATTTCAAAAATAAAAATGACACAAAATGAAAATATTTGAGAAGTCTTGCTTCCATCTTTGTCTCCATTCATCTTGTCCCTTCAGTCCCTAATGAGTGACCATTTAGTTTTTTCTCTTACTCAAAAGATAGCATTACTATACATAGTGCTCTGTACCTTGCTTTTCCCCTCTCTTCACAATAGTTTATCTTGGAGACCCCTTGTTATCAGTACCCAGGGAATCTTGCTTACCATAGACTAGTCATCTTGTCCCCTTTTTACGTAGGCACTTGGGTTGTCCCCAGGTTTTGCTGTTATAAACAATAAGACAGAAGTCAGTAATTAAAGGGGGGGGACCCCACTTAACCTGCTTCAGTTTTTAAGGCAAAGTTCTTTCCAAAGAAATGCCAGCTAATAAATGTAGAAGTAAGGATGGAATTAGAAAAATCAACATAATTTCAGACCCTAATAGTTCAAGAAGGAGTCACCAGTGGCTGCTAAACTATTAAGCAAATAGTTGAGAAGGAGCAGGATGTTCACTTGATGCCAAATATTAGCCAAAGATTTGCTGATTATAAAGGGAGGAGGGGCTCTACCTTTATAAAGAGAGCTCTTTCAGTTGCAGACTCAACCAGGTAGTCCTGTTTTTCCAAAGGATCACATAATTTTCCAAGTTGCGCTAAGTGGAACAGCCTGAGAATATAGGCCACCTGCTGTGCTGCATCAGGAGGTACATACATAGCATCACCTTTGAGGCATTCTTGCCAGAAACTCTCAGCCTAAATCTAATCAGTATTTTAGATCTAGCCTTCTGTTTATAGGAAATATAAGGGATAGACAGGTAACCTAAATGGCACTGTGAAGAAACAGACAGACAAAACTAAGATGTAAGACCTTCTCCAAGTCACCTGTCCTTGACTTCAAAAAAGCTTGTGTTGGGGGCACCTGGGTGACTCATGATATCAGCTCAGGTTATGATCGCAGGGTCGTGGGATTGAGCCTTGTATGTTGGGTTCTGAGATGAGGGTGGAGCCTGCTTAAGATTCTCTGTGTCTTGGGGAATGTGCTGTGGTGAGTGCTGTGAAATGTGTGAGCCGGATGATTCACAGACCTGTACCCCTGGGGCAAATAATACATTATATGTTAATAAAAATAATTAAAAAAAAAAAGATTCTCTCTGTCTTGGGGCACCTGGGAGGCTCAGTCGTTGGGCATCTGCCTTCGGCTCAGGTAAGGAGCCCTCAGTGCTGGGATCGAGCCCCCGTGTTGGGCTTCCTGCTTAGCAGGGAGCCTGTTTCTCCCTTTGCATGCTGTTCCCCCTACTCGTGCTCTCTCTCTATCAAATAAATAAATAAAATCTTAAAAAAAAAAAAAAAAGATTCTCTCCCCCTGCTACTCCCCTTCTTAAAAAAAAAAAAAAAAGTTTTTTTGTAAATAAAGTAAACAGAAAACCAACCAAAGCAAAACTTGGAGGCCATTTTAGAGTAAAAGAGACCAAAGAGACATGACAAGCAAATTCATTGCTTTACTTTTGGTGGATTCTGTTTTGTTTTGGTTTTTTTTTTAGGCCAAATATTAAAGACATTTTTTAAGATAGTTGGGGACATTTGAATGAGGACTTATTGGTCCTCATTGTACTTACTGGTATTGTGGTTATGAAGTCAAATGTCCTTATCCTTAGCAGATGCACAGTGAGGTGTGTAGGGTTAAAGCATCTTGAAGCCTGATGAAATGGTTCAGAAAAAAATTAAAAAACAACACAAATAATAGTGTGTTCATAGAGCTAGATAAAGCAAATGTGGCCAAATATTAACAGTTCTTGAGTCTAAGTAGCGAATAGCGTGTTTATTATACTGTTTTTTTCAACTTTTCTGCACATTTGAAATTTTTTAAAAGCAAACTACAGTGAATAACATTTCACCTGTATTTTTCTGAAGTGCCGTTTTATTGGGTTGCATATTCCATTGTATAGAGGAACCACAGTTCTTTAATTGTTGCATGTGTGTTTATTTTGCTGCTAGTTGATGTTTTAGTTGAATTTTTGTTTTGTGATAAACTATAGAACTATGCTCTTAAGGCTTGTGGTGGATGAGAAAAAGGAATTTAATTTTTTTTTTCCTTTTTCATCCTCTCTGCTACTCTGGAACTTCACTGGAGATGAAAAAAAGAGAATGAGAAAGATACATCAAAGTAGTCCTTATGCACATGCTTTTAGGTAGGAGATAGAGTTGAAAGCAGCTGCATAAGAACCAGACCTCGGGGCCCCTGGGTGGCTCAGTTGGTTAAGCATCTGACTCTTGGTTTCGCTACAAGTTGTGATCTCAGGGTTGTGAGATTGAGTCCCACGTCATGCTCTGCGCTGGGCATGGAGTCTGCTTAAAATTCTCCTCTCCCTCTGCCCCTCTCCCACCACTGCTTAAAAAAAGAGATAGAGAGCTAGAACTCAAGTTACAGCCTTTTAAAATCAGTTACCTGTTCTTTGGCTTGGAGGCTGCCCAAGTGATAAGGAGGGGAGCTGGGGGATAGGGAGGCAGTGTGGTGAGAAGGGAGGGCAGGTGCTGTGTTGTGTTTTGTTCTTGACAGGTTTTTAGACTTTCTCTATTAGTAACAAAAGTTCTTCCTGCCTGGTAAAATAGTAAGACTAACTGCTTTAGAGAATGATATATTCTTCAGATATAAGGCTGGTTTACTGAGGATATGAGATGAATTTAAGGATGAAATAATTTTGTTATCATATATGATAACTAGAATTAAGAAAACACTTGGGAAAAAAAAGGATGAAATATTTTTGGAAGAAAAGGTCTGGGAGAAGGGTCCTTCGTGAGAGAGTGTCATTAAATATGAAAAAAAATACTTACCTCTTCGAGCTCAATCACATTTGCAATGGGGAGCTTCTCTGATTGCAGAATAGATGTTCTTTGACTTTAATGTCCATCCTTTAGATTTCCATGAAGACAACTTACAAGGACCTGAATGGCCTCATTTTAGCTGCTTCAGCTTGTGGAGCAATTGCTCGCTCCTTCTCTTCCTGTGCCTGGTGTGACAGTGGCTACTGAGCACCATGAAGGTTGTTCCAGAGAAGAATGCTGTCCGGATACTCTGGGGGCGAGAACGGGGCACTCGGGCCTTTGGAGCTCAGCGGCTTCTGCAGGAGCTAGTGGAAGATAAAACTCGGTGGATGAAATGGGAGGGCAAGGTAGGAAAAACAGATATTTTTGACATTGGATTTGTAGGGGTAACTGTAGATGGGGTTTTAGAATGGGATAATGATGTAGAGTTGGGGCATAATTTATTTTGTGTAAGAGAATTGACACATCTAACTTAACAGAGTTTTAAAAATAAATTTGGAAGAATTTTTGGGCTAGAAATAATCTTTTCCCTTTAGAGCTAGACATTTTTCTTAAAGGTAATTTGGATTTCTGTCTCTCAGCTTGTGGCTTGATCATTGTCTCCAGTTTTTTAGCTTATACTGACTACTAATCTACAGTGGCTTGTGTACTTTTTGAGATAGAGTGAGCCATAGTTTATAAATAATGTATTTTAACTTTTCCTGGTTTGTTTTTCAGAGAGTAGAACTGCCGGATAGTCCACGCTCTACCTTTTTGCTGGCCTTCAGCCCAGACAGGTACCTAGTACTTATCTATAACTTAAGACTTGCTACAGCATTGCTTTCTGTATATTTGGTCTAACTTGGTAACATCCCTAAGGGCTCTTTGAAGCTTTGCATGAACAGCGCTTTGTCAGTGTATCAGAAGGGGAAAGAAAGTAGATGAGCGTTGCTAACCATAGAAATAACAGGGATAAGCAAAGGAAACGGCGGACCTTGAGCCTCCAAATTCAGAAAATTTCTCAATTACAATCCTTTGGCAGTGTGATGCAGGCCACTGATGGCATGATAATTTTTCTGCTGGAAAAAAACAGTCTCTGAAGGGGACGTGTGTCATTTGGGGACAGTGTGGAGAAGCTAAAGCTTTTAAAGATCAGAATACTTCTGTTGTTTATAATGCCTAGGGTGTAGTGTTTCCACGCTGGGGTGGGGAATACTCGAAAGCCAGTTATCCAGAACTGATAAAATTTGTTACCCTCCTACATGCTTCACATTCATTTCCTACTCTTTGATTTCCTAGGACTCTGTTGGCCTCCACCCACGTGAACCATAATATCTATATTACGGAGGTGAAGACTGGCAAGTGTGTTCATTCTTTGATTGGACACCGCCGTACTCCATGGTGTGTCACTTTTCATCCTACCATCTCAGGCCTTATTGCTTCTGGCTGCCTAGATGGGGAGGTCAGAATTTGGGATTTGCATGTAAGTATTTCCATTTCTTTGGTATTCTAAATGCAGAGAGTTGTTTACCATTGAGTTCTGAACTAGAGAGACTAGCCAGGTTTTTAGGACTACATCTGAGTAAGTGGTGGTCTTCCCCACTTAAATAATGGGAAGTCTAGTCCATATTCCTCCATTCTAAGATGAATATCTCACTTAACTATTCTTCCATCTGCCCATTGTGGCATAGTACAGGAGGTTCTAAATTATGTTCAGGATAGATACCTTTTTTTTTTTTAGAGCAAGGATTGTGGATGTGTTCTGATCATGATCGCCAAAGCAATGTGCTTCTTGTCCTGATGACTTAGTAGTGGGTTGTTGTGCACCATGGCTATGTGGATGCTCATTGCTTTGGATTGCAGATGACTTGGAGAACTGAGCTGGCAGTAATAATTTTCTGATAAATTGGCGACTCTGCCAGATCACTGATTTTCTACATTTTACAGTGGACATATTTAAAGTCGGCTCTATAAGTAGTCATTTTACCTTAAATGGTCCTTTCTTGAAATTGACATCCCAGTCTGCTGCCAGTTTGTAACCTGAGAATATTTGGGATTGGTTCATTTGTAGGGTGGCAGTGAAAGCTGGTTCACAGACAGCAACAATGCCATTGCTTCTTTGGCTTTCCACCCTACGGCTCAGCTCCTGTTGATTGCCACTGCCAACGAGATCCACTTCTGGGATTGGAGTCGGCGAGAGCCCTTTGCAGTGGTAAAGACAGCTAGCGAGATGGAACGGGTCCGGTGAGTGCTCTGGCCACCAGCGATGTCTGGCATAGGACTAACGTGGCAGAGAACATTTACATTTGCTGTCCCTTCAGGAAGCAGTTTGTTATACCTGCTCAGAGCAGGTGGTTATGCGTACAGCTCCTACTTTTGAAGCTGCTGGCCAATCAGTAGTTCATTTTAGCTGTTTCTGATTGGTCTCATCTTCTGGTCTCTGTAGACCAGGGTTGTTAGAATGTCATTTGGGTTCAGAGCTATCTGGATTTGGGGTGGGGCCCTCTTTTGGGAAACCTGCAAGATGTTCAGGTGGAGGTTAATTTGGTGGGAAGTTGCTAAATCAGTTATTTGCGTTTATCAAACTGGAAAATGGAGATGAAATATGTGTCAGATCTGCTGATTGATATTTAGCCCTCAAAACGCAAACACACATCGCTGGAATTAAAGCTGACGCATTGGTTTTCTTTGGTCCTCTTTGGTATTGCAGTTGGATATAAGAAAATTTTCTAGTCTCAGCTGTATCACTTGATGCTGAAACTGTTCACTGTCACCAGAACTTCTGCTTCTTGCCAGTGTAGCTGCTTTGTGAGGGCAGAACTAAGTAACCCAGTGGCAGGGTATGGGAGTGTGCTGTGCTTTACTGCTCTGATGGGCTCTTCGGTATAAGCAAGCGTGTGCTTAATGTAGCTGCTTCTTGGGACAGAAACCTAGGTGCTTTTTTAAAATTATCTTCGTGATACACAATCCCCTATTCTGGCAAGTGTGAGGAGATAACAAGAAGTATTGAGCCCTATTATTTTGATTTCTTCAAGAGTTTTGAAAGTTCCTAGAATGAAGAGGCTGCCTGGGTAATCCTCACTTATCAGTAGTGATTGCCGTACATTTGAACACAGACTTCCTCTTCTTATTTAACATCTATGCGTGTCTGTCTTTCTTTTTGTGTTTTCAGTCTGGTGAGATTTGATCCTCTTGGACACTACTTACTCACAGCCATTGTTAACCCCTCTAATCAGCAGGTAAGTTAGTCAGCAGTTCCAACTCCATCTAAACTGGAAGTTTTTTCCTAGACTAGTGCTCCAATTCTGATTTTATTGGACTTGTACTTTGTAATGCCCAAGTGTTTCTTTTCTAGTCGAGATTGAGAACTAGCTTCAGACTGTGTATTCAAAGTGCTAGCCATAGCCTTGACAGGGGAGTCAATTCTGAAACCCCCAAGTGACCACCTTATTAGAAGTAACCAGGCTGTGTTGGGTAGCTTGTCATTTTTGTGCCTCTGGCTGCTTGACACTCTCACTGCCTCTGTGTCAGAGAGATGCACTTTGTAAAAGTGTCGGTTTGCCCTCTGTACCCATTCAGAAGTGTCACTAATTGGAAGTGAACAATTTAATTCCCTATGATGATCCGGAAGCTGAAGCCAGTTAGTCCTCAGTGCTTCAGGGTAGGGTTGTTGTCTCTCCATGAAGACTGTTTTCCTTGGATGGTAGTCAGAGTCAGTAGTTAGTTTGCCTTGATTTACCTGGAGGTTCTACCTAACTGCCTCGATCTCCCTCTGCAGGGTGATGACGAACCAGAGATCCCCATAGACGGAACAGAGTTATCCCACTACCGTCAGCGCGCCCTGCTGCAATCACAGCCAGTTCGCCGGACGCCTCTCCTCCACAATTTCCTGCACATGCTGTCCTCCCGCTCCTCTGGCATCCAGGTGGGAGAGCAAAGCACAGTGCAAGATTCTGCTACCCCCTCACCCCCACCGCCTCCCCCTCAGCCCTCCACGGAGCGCCCCAGGACTTCCGCTTACATCCGGCTCCGACAGCGGGTCAGTTACCCCACAGCTGAGTGCTGCCAGCACCTTGGGATCCTGTGCCTTTGCAGCCGCTGCTCTGGCACTCGAGTTCCTTCCCTCTTGCCACACCAGGACAGTGTCCCCCCTGCTTCTGCCAGGGCTACTACCCCTTCCTTTTCTTTTGTACAGACCGAGCCCTTCCATCCCCCGGAGCAGGCCTCGTCAGCGCAGCAGGACCAAGGCCTCCTGAACCGGCCGTCTGCCTTCAGTACAGTCCAGAGCAGCACTGCCGGCAACACGCTCCGCAACCTCAGTCTGGGCCCCACCCGTCGCTCTTTGGGAGGCCCTTTGTCCAGCCACCCTTCTAGATATCACCGAGAGATAGCTCCTGGGCTGACAGGGTCCGAGTGGACCCGGACAGTGCTCAGTCTGAACTCCCGCTCTGAGGCAGAATCCATGCCTCCACCCAGGACCAGTGCCTCTTCGGTGAGTTTGCTGTCTGTGCTGAGGCAGCAGGAAGGTGGCTCTCAAGCGTCTGTGTACACTTCAGCCACAGAAGGGAGGGGTTTTCCAGCTTCAGGGTTGGCAGCTGAGTCAGATGGAGGAAGCGGCTCCAGCCAAAACAACTCGGGCAGCATTCGCCATGAGCTTCAGTGTGACCTGAGACGCTTCTTTCTGGAGTATGACCGGCTGCAGGAGCTGGATCACAGCCTGAGTGGAGAAGCCCCCCAGACCCAACAGGCCCAGGAGATGCTCAATAACAACATTGAGTCCGAGAGGCCAGGCCCCTCCCACCAGCCCACCCCACACAGTAGTGAGAACAACTCCAACCTGTCCCGTGGCCACCTGAACCGCTGTCGCGCTTGCCACAATCTCCTGACCTTCAACAATGACACCCTGCGCTGGGAAAGAACCACACCCAACTACTCCTCTAGCGAGGCCAGCTCCTCCTGGCAGGTCCCCACCACCTTCGAGGGCATGCCATCGAGTGGCAGCCAGCTGCCACCCCTTGAGCGGACTGAGGGCCAAACGCCCAGCTCCAGCAGGCTGGAGTTGAGCAGCTCTGCTAGTCCGCAGGAGGAGAGGACTGTGGGAGTGGCCTTCAACCAGGAGACGGGCCACTGGGAAAGAATTTACACCCAGTCTAGCAGATCTGGAACTGTACCACAGGAGGCCTTACATCAGGATATGCCTGAGGAGAGCTCTGAGGAAGATTCACTCAGGAGGTAAGCAGGTGCTTTCTTGCCTTCTCCTACATCCCTTGCTTTTCTCCTTACATCTGTTCCTTCAGTCCTGTAGATGTTGTGGCTGGATCTGGAGTGTCTGGGACCCGTGCATCTGGTTTTGGTCTCCCTGATATCCATTGCATCTTCTTGGAAGATCTTGCTCTGGTGGCAGAGATAGAACGGGGCCTAACAGTATAAGTCACGTGGTTCTGCTAGCTCCTTTTCTGGCTAAGCTCATGAGTCCTTTCACCTTAAAGGAGAATATAGAAAAAAAAAAAGAATATAGATCAGGTTAGAGGTGCAAGAGGAGGTAGAGTCATTGACTTCCTCTGCCCTGCTTTTTGACCTTCTTGGAGGATTGTATGTGCAGCACTAGTTATTGTGAAAAAAGAAAATGTCCCAGAGGCTGCAGACTAGCATATTAGCTCTTTTTCAGTCGTGTCTCTTTGGACAGTTGTGTTCACCTGTTAAACCTTATCTTTTGGAACACTGCAACTTGACAGAAGGGAAAAGAAAATTTGTGTGTGTGTGTGTGTATGTATGTCAAGGAAAGTCCATTTTTTTAGGGATACATATTTTTTTGGATAGCAGATTAGTTGCTTAGTTAAGATTCTTTGAGGAGATCTTCCAGATGGACATTCACCTCAAGGTGAGGAAGAAGAATAATTTGTAGAAGGAAGGCCTCTCCATACTCAGATCAGCATCCCAGGCAACTCTTCCATGGAAGAAACGGAGTGGGTGTAGTTGACCGCCCACCACATGTTCCATGTATGGCTGTGTGCGCATCTATCTTGATTTATTAGGGACTTCTTTCTGTAATTCTGTAAAGGTCACATCTAGCGTAATCACCAACTCCCAGAATATGCCTGTTGGATCCAAACAGCATATTGCTCTGCATTACATTCTCTGTTGAAGCAACTGAAATTTCTGACATAAGCTTCTAACAAGGGTGGGAATATGGATTGTGCACATAATGTACTTGTTATTTTGGGAGAATGCTTTAGAGAGTTACCCAGTTAATAAGTATTTGTTGAATGGTTATGTGCTAGCACTGTGCTAGGCACTGTAGGGAATACGGAAGAAGTATAATACCTGGTCTTTACCCACTGGGAGTGTTATTATAAAGGCAGGACTTATTTACATGCAATTATATAAAAAATGTAGATGACCCAAATGCTTCACTGTGCGGTACTGAGATTAAATGCAGTCTCATTTCAGAGAAAGGGAAGTATCATCAAAGAAGGCTGTATGAAATCAAGTCTTGAAAGATGGGTAGGATTAGGGAAAGACCTTTTTATTTTAGGAGACCAGCGCATTCTAAGACAGGAAAGAACATGTTGAATGCAAGATATTGGGTGGTTACTAGGGGCTGTTGCTAAGGGGAAGATAGGACACTTGGTTGGATATGAAAGATAGACAAAATAATAGAGGTTGTTACTATGCTCCTATAGTTCAGACTAGCTCTGGGTTAACGTCTCCTAAATTCCCAGCTTTGTAATATTTTGCCTTGCATAATGGCCCATATTAGGAACTTGAGACTGTTACTCCTCTTTGTCAAGAGAGGTGGGAAGGTAGCAAGCACAGTGTCTGACATAGAGTAGGCATGCAAAAGGTTTATGAAAGGTAGTTGTAAAAGAACTGTCTTTAGTTACTGCTCTAAAAGCCTCCCAGGACCTGTTTCCATAGTACCAGTGGGCCTCTGGTCAGTTAGCCTTTGTGCATTTCTGTTGTAGTAGTACCTCTTCTGGTGTTGTTCTGAGAAATATCTGAGTGGTTTAAAGTAAACTCTGTTTGATAATGATTAGAGATACCAGTTACTGAGGCCCTACTATGTGTTAGATACTATATCTTTGCACTAGTTATTTCTAATTTCCACCATAACTCTGCAAGGCAGGTATTAAATGTCTCATCTTATTTTTTTTTTTAAAGATTTTATTTATTTATTTGACAGAGATCACAGGTGGGCAGAGAGGCAGGGCAGAGAGGGAGAGAGAGGGGGAAGCAGGCTCCCCACTGAGTAGAGAGCCTGATTCGGGGCCTGATCCCAGGACCCTGAGATACGACCTGAGCCGGAGGCAGAGGCTTTAACCCACTGAACCACCCAGGTGCCCCAGATGTCTCATCTTACATTTGAGGAAAGTGAGGCTCAGAAAAGTCGAGTTTCTTGTTAAAGATCCGTAAGTAGGTTGAGTGGGGATTTGAATTCTAGTTTGTAGGACTACAGATTTTTCTAAGCTGCCAGCCATGGTATATTCCTTAGTGTGATACCTCATTTTTCGGTGAAACATTTTTATTAATTTTAGTTTCATTTAGTTTTTTATTATGATAATCTTCAGACATATAAAAACAGAAAGTTTAATAAGTGAATTTTCATATATCTCTCATCTGACTTTAAAAATTATTAACATTTGTCCAGCTTCCATTTGTCTATATCCCCTGTTGACTCCCCCAACCCAGACATAAAATTTCATCTGAAAATAATATGTTTCTCTAGAACAGTGCCATCCAATAAACTGTTCTACAGTGATGTAAGTGTTCTGTATCTGCGTTGTGCAGTATGGTAGGCATTAGCCACATGTGGCTAATAAGCATTCAAAATATGGCTAGTGTGAACTGAGGAGCTACATGTACATTTTTAAATTTTAATTAAATGTAAATAGCCACATGTGACTAAAATATTAATCACTTCTTAATAAAAGTAGACCGTTTAAAACCCAGAAACTGGGGCATCTGGGTGGCTCAGTCAGTTAAGCATCTGCCTTTGGCTCAGATCATGATCCCAGGGTCCTGGGATTGAGTCCCGCATCGGGCTCCCTGCTTAGTGGCAAGCCTGCTTCTCCCTCTCCCACTGCCCCTGCTTGTGTTCTCTCTCTTGCTGTCTCTTTCTTCAAATAAATAAATAAAATCTTTTTTTTTTTAAGATTTTATTTATTTATTTGTCAGAGAGAGTGAACACAGGGAGACAGAGTGGCAGGCAGAGGCAGAGGGAGAAGCAGGCTCCCTGCTGAGCAAGGAGCCCGATGCAGGACTCAGTCCCAGGACGCTGGGATCATGACCTGAGCCGAAGGCAGCCGCTTAACCAACTGAGCCACCCAGGTATCCCAAATAAATAAAATCTTAAAAAAAAAAAACCACACAAAACAAACCCCAGAAACTATGTTTGTGTTTTAAATAAAGAAGTTCAAATGTTTAAAAATATAGGCTCTAGTAAACAATTGTGTAAATATATTCTTCTTTTAAAAATATACAAATAATGCATGGTTTCATTGTAAAATATAATAGTTACATGATTTGTGGAGTCACTTGAGATGAGCTAGGATGAGATGTACTGTGGGGGCTGACAGCCTGCTCAAAAGTGAGGTATAATGTAAAATATTCCAAGGGCATAGCCTTTATAGAGGGGCCATCACTTCCTCGTAATTTGAGTGGCTGCATTCTAGTGTAAATCCCTAATACATTCAAGTGCTTATCAGCATCTTCTGCCACCTTCAAAAGGGACCTGATGTTCTCTAGCTAATGAGCCGGCCCTTGCTTGGCTTTCCCCAGCAGGTGTCACTGTTGGGCTGTTGCTGCCGCTAGACTAGTATGGACGGCAGGAAAGGAAGGTGTCCTTATTGTGTGCCTAGTCTGCTTGAAGGGAGATTTATTCTTTGGCCTTGTAGTAGGAGATAGACAAAAGAAGCATATTTTGATCCTCGGTGCTGCTGATTTAATTAATAGTGTTTGAAAATAGTGAGAATATTGAGCACAAGTGTGTCATTTCAGTATAGCTCTGTTGCTGAGCTCTGATAACCAGTTCACAGTTTGGCTCCTTTTGCCTGTGAGCGGTAGAGGGCAAGCTGCCTGTGTAGTAGTCTTGACTCCAGATTAAAACTTAAAACTTGGGTGGCAGACCTTTTCCTCACCACCAGAAACAACAACTTCTTCTTCTTCTTCTTCTTCTTTTTTTAAAATTTTATTTATCCATTTGACAGAGAGAGCACAAGCAGGGGGAGTAACAGGGAGAGGCAGAGGGAGAAACATGCTCCCCACCCAGCAGGGAGCCCGATCTGGGCTTCCATCCCAGGACCTTGTGATCATGATCTGAGCCGAAGGCAGATGCTTAACTGACTGAGCCACCCAAGCACTCCCAGAAACTTCTTTTTGGGTCTGATAGCCCAGGATCTAGCAGAAGATCAGGGTCTTGTGGCTCCTTGCAACTTGCAGCAGGAGTCCCTGTGGCTTTGAAAGGTTGGTATTAGGAAAAAGAGAAAATTACTTAAATGGCATTTTAAAACTGGAGAAAACCTAGAGTGTATTTAATACAGCCCTTTTTCTTTTCTTTCTTTTTTTTTTTTTAAATGAAAAAACTTAGATCTACAGAAATGACTTCTTAAGAGGTGCTTATAAGAACCGTGGGATTCAGGGCACCTGGGTGGCTTAGTGGGTTAAAGCCTCTGCCTTCGGCTCAGGTCATGATCCCAGGGTCCTGCTTAGCAAGGAGCCTGCTTCCTCCTCTCTCTCTCTCTATCTCTGCCTGCCTCTCTGCCTGCTTATGATCTCTGTCAAATAAATAATAAAATCTTAAAAAAAAGAACTGTGGGATTCAAACCATTAGGCCCTAAAGAGGGCACTCTTTCCTCCTCTTCATTTGAAATTAGTGCTTTCACATACTGAGTTTTCTCTGTCAGAACCTCTGTTGCTCCTGTAGATCATTGAGGGGTGGGGGTGGCGCGGTGGGCTCTTTAGTCAACTCTCTTTGTTAAAAACTGGAGGTCTGGGGCACCTGGGTGGCTCAGTGGGTTGGGGCCTCTGCCTTCAGCTCGGGTCGTGGTTCTGGGGTCCTGGGATTGAGCCCCGTGTCGGGCTCTCTGCTCTCTGCTTCCTCCTCTCTCTCTGCCTGCCTCTCTGCCTACTTGTGATTTCTGTATGTCAAATAAATAAATAAATAAATCTTAAAAAAAAAAAAAAGAAACTGGAGGTCTGATAATTCATTTACAATTTTTGTCTCACTGTAGAAA